TTTTTTTTGTGAAGTACGTTAATTCTTTTTTTGGGGAGTGTCTTCGTGAGCCTCTTATGGTTTCAGGATAGTTCAAATCCTATGATGTTCCGATTCAATGCTCACCGATGATCTGAGCCATGGGGCAAGTTTGTTTTCCTAAGAATATTTTTGAACATTTCGAGAGCGCATGTTTGAACATTTAAAGTGCATATGAACATATATTTACGAAAGGTCGCCTCCGAGGGGATAAATCACCATGTCGAACATTGCATTTTTGTTCCTGCCTCTCGCGTTCTCTTCTCTTCCCGCTGTCCTACCTTTCGTGTCTCCCTCCTCTCAAGTTACTGAAAACAAGGAGACTGGAAGCCCCAATCTTCGTGTTTTTGTTCAGGAGATGACCATCCTGGGTAGCTATCATTTTGCAGCCACTGGTCAAAGGAAAGAAGTCTGCGCAGTACGGGCGCGCTATGCTCGCAAAGAGAAACCGAGTATTGAGGCAGATGGTTCCAAGTTTGAGTCCATTCCAGTTGGCAACGAAGATATCAGCATTAGTGAGGACGATGAGGACGATGCCTTAGTCTTGGGTCATGAACGGCGCCAAATGCAGCGTGATGCTGAGATCCTGCGTTTGATCTATGATGAGGAGGAGGTGGAATCAAATGGCGATCATGATGAAAACATGTCGGTTAAGTCGGATGAAACTGATGGCTTAAATGAGCTTTCGGAACTCAACACCAATTTGGCTGCATCATTTGCCAACAAGAGTGCAAAGGAGTCTGAATTTACCAATGCTTGTGCACTTCTACACATTACACATGATATGTTTTAATGTCTAAAATTTATATGTGGATATGTTTCCACGATCACAGGAGGTGTGTCAGTAGACTCGATATATAGACTACGCAATTATGGGGAGCCCTTCATGCGCACACACAGAAACTGATGTGGTCATTGTTTGGGCATTTGTACAAAGGCCTGCGATGTGCGGTGTGCGGTGTGCCGGTGTGCATTTGAATGGTGGCCAGTGGGCGAAGAACAAGGCCAAAGGCGCATAATGACTCACAGCTACAAACAAACTCACAAACTAAGAAGAGACAAAGCAGTTAAACTAAATCAGCTATACACATCATCGAAACTACCAAAAAGGTCGAGCAAGGAAACGGTCAAACATTTACAGAGGATCACAGGAGTAAACGGAGTGCACTTTAGCGTGACGTTTCTATTGATACATTAGAACTCATTCGGACACATCCACACATGTGAAACTGCCGCAGCAACGCAAATGGATTTTTGTGAGTCTCAGTCCAGGCAGTCTCAGGTCTCAGTCGGTCTTAGTCAGTCTGAGCGTCAAACCAACAAGTCCAAACGTGCAATCTGCTGAAATGGTCATGCGCTTGTGCCTTTTACTATCATGAGGCTGTCAGGATTTATTGGCGATGGTGATGAACATGGTGCCCATGGTGACTGTGCAGTTGATCACGTTCAATCGTCGCCCGCGATTTGTGATTGTCGCAAAACATGGATTGATATGTTTCTTGGTCCCATGTACTCTGACTGCCACACATAGTTATGATGTTTGAATGTTGGAGCGCGATGGTCATTGACAAAAGCATCATTATCATCATTGTTATCATCATGTGTCTCAGGCTGTCAAGAAGGAAGACAAGGGCTGGACAGTCTGGAAACGCTGACGGCTGAGGTGCACTGCACTGCACTGCACTAGCGCCTGTTGAGTTTGTGAGTGTAGCTCGGTGTAGCGTCACTAGTTGTAGTGCGGATTTGGATGGCTTTGTTTAGATTGACAATTATAATTGTACTAATTGATGGTTGAGTCGTTGAGCTTTTATGAATGTAATGATTTCCTGGATTATTTTTTTTGGCTTTGAGCGATCAGCAAAAACACAAACTGTCATGAACCTTTTTTGCAAAGGCCTGACGCGCGCCAAATCTGTTGCGTATGTTTCATGTCATTTGTCCCGAGTCCTTCCTTTAGTCAGTGTTCACTGTTCACTTTAAGTTGCGCTTCAAACTTCCTTGGGCCACATCACCATTCCACCAACAGGATGATCGAAGAGGAAGCTACGCAATGACCTGACCACCACCGCCCAGGCAGGTCTCTCTCTTGTTGTTTTCGGAGAACGCGCCAGCTGCCGGTATTCGCAAGTGGTGTCCTATGTCCTGGTAGTACTGAACACTTTGCTCAATGTGTGTGTGAGAGTTCAGAGTGCGTGCGATTGTGACAACTA